TAGAAACAAATGGCAGTCCCAATCCAGAGCAGAATATGCATGTCAGACTATGACATGCATGTGAATGATATGCTAGAGACTCTGTTCCAGAGTCCCATGCTTTGGAATTACTATATTTGATGTGTCTTAGTAAGTACAGTAGTAGATTATTTAAGTACCACATTGTAAGAGTAATAGACAAGTTTCTGACCCCTCACAGTTGTGGTATACTGTGCATAGAAAGCCTTGCACTATAGCTCTGGGTTTGTGTTTGTTACTTCAGATAAGAGAATAGACACATTATTGATATCATAAAGAGATATTTGAGAACTGTGTGAGGCACAAAAGTTTGCAAGAGACTTGAATTCGATTTAATAAGAGGTTTTGAATTGTGCTCTAGCCTGAGAATAAGAGAGCAGTGTCTGAAGGACACTATCCTGAGTTTTTGAGGTGTTTGTGATGTGTGGTGCTACAGGTGGCAGAGGTCTAAACCCTTTGGCCTGTGGATGGAGTTACTTGTGATATTTCTGCAGATCAGCAGAGGTTCAAACTCTTTGGGTCTGTCAGACAGTGTTTTATTGTGTTTTGTGCCTCTGGATCACATAGGTTTGAGTCCTGCAGATCTATGATCAGTTTGGAAACTTGTGCACAGAGGTTTGAAACCTTTGGCACTTGTGGATATGTTTGTGATTAGTTTCTGCTTAGAGCACAAAGCTTTGCATTGTGTAGTGTGTGTTTGGAGATTTAGAATTGATCTGAGCTGTGCTTGGAACTGTTTTGAGAGTTTTGTGGAAGTGTTTTGATATATCATATTGAGCTACAGTACTCTTTGCCTTGAGGCCTGGCAACACTTGTGGCCATCTTTTGCTTTGATAAAATAAAAAGCTTCAAGACTTAGAGAGATCTGAGACAGTTGTATATATGCTATTGCTACTTGCATGCAGTGAAATTATTTGAGAAGACAGTTGTACTTGCTACAGCTACTTTATCACATTATAATCCTCCCATGAACTAAGAGTATTGTGTGTGTGTTGGTATGGGTGTGACCAGTGGATAGCACTCTGCTGTGACCATTTTCACCTTGTGAACATGCAAAACCTCTTCAACAGCATTTGACAGAGGCCCTGAATGTACCACCATAGCATTTATAGAGGAGGTTGAAGAGATACCTGAGGTTGCACAGGTTGCAGCTATTACTGAAAGTGATGAGGAGATTTGATAGGATTTCTTAAAGATGGAATGTGATGATGTAGATGATCCAGAGAGCAACATTGATGTTGCTGCAATCACATGAGTACAAGCAAAGAAGAAAACAGAACCAAATAAAGATATGCTGCTGCTACTAGAGAAAGAGGATAGAAAACATGAGGCTAAGACAGATGCTATAGAACTACCTATGCCTCTGTTCACAGAACAAGAATCAGCACAAGCAAAGTCAAAAGAAGATGCTACCACACTAGAGCCAATGTACAATGCATAGCAACCTGCCTACCAACATAAAACTCAGCTCAATGATCTTACCACTATATCATGCATTTACCAGCAGATTCTAGACACACCAATTTTTATGCCCATATGTGACCTATATGCAATCAGCAAGGACCTTACATGAGAAGCCACCATGAACAAATGCACAAATTGTATATCCAACCAGTCCTTCATTGCCACTTCCTCTCTTGCCCATATGAGCTTCCCTCTTCTCTCTCTTGACTATGCAACACCCCTGTGTACTATCAATGTCTCCACCTCTGGAAAACCATCTGAGCCTGCTCTTCTTGATGAAGGGTCAGAAATTATAGTCATTTGAAAGGATCTAGCTAAGGAATATGGCTTGAATATCAATAGACACTGTAAGATGGTTATGGAGACTGTTGCTGATGTAAAAGACAAATTACCTGGCTGTGGAGAGAAACTCAAAATTATTGTCAATGGTCTCATCATCATGGCACATGTATTTATTCTGTCTAAAGCCCCATACTGTATCCTTTTAGGGTGTCTATGGCAGTGTGCTGTCTGTCTTGAAAAATGGAAGACTAGTACAGGTGTCACCATTTGCATCTAGGAGCCAATTTACCTGTATTCTGACTACTGTAAAATTGCTGTGATAAAGGGCAAATGGGCTGCAGGCAGGCTGGTCAACATACTGTAAACCATTGACAATGTGGTGGAAGAATGAAGACAAGAATCAGGAGTTCCCAAACATGGACCAGATTTGATGACCACTGTTACTAATACATACTCACTCATCAACTCTGTACTATCTGACACCTTTACATTCAATAACACCTCTCATTGTATGCTATACAAGAGTGTAGACAGGAAAGCCAGCCAGATACCAGTGACACTACTAGAACAAGCCAAGATCTGCTGCTACTTCTCTGAAGACCCATTGCTCTCTCTCCCTCTATTGTCCCCATTTTCTATTGACTTCCAACCCTCTGTCTGGCTCATCCAGAAACATCTTCAGTCACTTTGCATATTGCAGAATGAATTTTTGCTTCTAGAAGAATGTTGGCTGGCTGTTAATGTCTTGATGAATAATGCTACTGCTATTGCATTCACAAGCAATAAATGAGAATGCTTACATGATGACTATGTCAGCTCTGTTATTATTCTGCTCATGGAACATGAACCTTGGGCTTGTAAATTCATTCTCATCCCTCCTGACATCTGGAATCAGATTATCCAGCAAGTTGAAGAGAAGGTTCAGTAAGGCCTTTGAGAGCCATCTGATAGCTTTTACTCTACCCAATGGTTCTGTATTAGCAAGAAGGATGGAAAAATCAGAATAGTCATCAACCCTAATAAGATGAATCAATATACCATCCAAACAATGGGACCATCACCCCTCTCAGACCAGTACTATGAACATGCTGCTGGCCAAGAAATCTATATGAGAATTGACCTACTCTCTGGTTATGATCAGCACAGCCTGAATATCTCCTCCTATGATCTTACAACTATTGATATCCACTTCAGACCTATATGACTGACCACTCTGCCAAAAGGTTGGACTAGCTCTGTCAATATATTCCATCACAATATTGCATTCATCCTTTAACATGAAACTGATGTTATGCCAAACTTCATTGATAATATTGATGTCCTTGGTCCTCAAACTGGCTACAAGCTTCCTAATGGTGACTACAAATGGCACTCTGAAAACAGTTGGATTTGAAAGTTTGTATGAGATCACTTATGCAATGTCAACCAGATACTGTATCATCTTAAGCATGCAGGTGCTACCATCTCTGTGAAGAAGCTATGAGTAGAGGTGCCTGAGTTAGTTATGCTTAGACAACTCTGTAGCTATAAAGGATAGTTACCTGAAAATGTTGCTGTTTGCAAAATCAAGACATGGCTGCCATGCTGTAGTGTCAAACATGTTCACAGATTTCTGGGTCTCTCTGATACTGTATGAATATAGATCTGTAACTATGCTGCTATCTCCTACCCCCTTGTCAAGCTCACCTTCAAGGATGTTTCCTTTTCTTGGACTTCTGATCACTAGTCAGCAATGGATGCTCTCAAAAATAGCATAGTTACTTGTCCAACCATATATCCAATTGACTATCATTCAGGATGTGATGTCATACTATCTGTTGACTCTTCAGAAATTGCTTATGGCTTCATCTTACAGCAATTTGGGATTGATGATCAGTGTCACATTATTTGGTTTAGCTCAATTGCATGGTCTGATATAGAGCTGTGCTACTCCCAAGCCAAGATTGAACTGCAAGGCTTGTGACATGCCCTGCATACTATCTAAATCTATTTGGTTGGGTTGAAACATTTTCTCATTGAGATAGATGCCAAGTACATATAGGGAATGTTAAACAACTCTGACTTGCATCTGAATGCCTTGGTGAATCAGTGGATTGCTGTCATCTTGATGTTCAATTTTACCTTAGTCCATATTCCAGCAGAACACTTCAAGAGACATAATGGTCTGTTATGATGCAAAAACCTCAATTATGATGGTGACATACCTGATGATGTTGCCAAAGATTGGATCAATGATGAAGTTCTTGGTTGTACTGTTTGAGTCTTATCCTTCCTCCAATCCATGCCTGGTGATCATAGTGAGTGTGCATTGTATGTTGTAGAGGCCACTAGCACAGCAATGTCAGTTCTTTTCACAATGGAGGAGTCAGCAAACAACCTACCTCAGATCTTGGAATCATGCTGTCAGAATGCTCAGCTTGAAGATATTAAGTTCTATCTTTCAAACATCAAGTGTCCTCCTTCTGTTCCCACTTGTGAGCTGTCTATTCTCCAACAACAGTCTTGTCCCTACTTTGTTGCAGTCAACCAGGTCTTTCAGCATGAATGTGGTGGTCATCACCAGCTCATCATCTCTTTTCCACAGTGCTTGCACATCCTCTGTCTTGTGCATGACAAGCTGGGGCATCATCATGGATTCTATCCCATTCATTGCTGGATTGCAGATCATTTCTGATGGCCTGACATGAGTAATGACATTGAATAGTAGCTGCAGACATGCTATGAATGCCAATTAGAGTTAACTGAACATGTTCATTTACCACCCAAGATCTGTATGCCCACAGGGCTCTTCCAGAAGTGTCATATAGACACCATGCATATGCTGAGGTCTAGAGAATATCACTATATCATTCAAGGGCACTGCAGCTTGACTCACTGGTGAGAATTTCACATCTTGCATAGAGAAACTGCTGAGATGGTGGGCCAGTTCATCTTTAAAGAAATATTATGTCAGTGGAGAGGAATTGCAGAGATTCTTGTCATGGATAACAAACAGTCCAGCTATCATTGCTGCCATTGATTACTTAGGTCAAAAGTATGAAATTCAGCATATTCACATCTCTCCATATAATTTACAGATGAATGAGCTTGTGGAGGTTTCACACTATCCTATCCAGGGTGCTATCAAGAAGCTATATAAAGGAAATGAAAAGAACTGGCTGAATAAGTTGCATCTCAGATTTTGAGCAGATTGTATCACCACCACTTAACAAACTGGCTATTCACCATTCTACTCTGCTCATGGCATTGAGCCTCTCCTTGTATTTGATGCCCTTCTTGTGACCTTTCTTTTTCCTGATTTTGATGGCAAATTATCTGATTCTGATCTAATTTATATGCAAGCTTATCAGCTAGAGCACCATGATGGAGACCTAGCTCACCTACAAGAATATGTCATCAAAGCTCATTTCAGATCCATTGCAGACTTTGAACAACACTTCTGGACTATTATATATGACTACAACTTCAAGCCTGGCATATTAGTACTGGTGCTCAACAAGAAGATTGAACCAGGAGGAACTTACTATCTTGCTGACCTCAATAGTGCTATTTCATGCTTGAAATTTGCTGCATTCTGTCTTATTTCATACCATGCAAGATCAAGGAAAGAGTCTAAGATGACTGAGTTTATCAATCAAGCAGACTTAATGGGCATTGCTGAGAATCATGATGACAATGACATATAAATTCAACCTGAAGATTGAAATCTATAGTTTGTATGGGATGTAGACAATTCAGCACCCCTACATGCATAGACCAGCAAGGTCCTTCCACCTGGGCCATAGCTCACAGTTTCCATTGTACTTATGCTTATTGTTACTTTCACTCATTGTTACATTACTATGCTAGAACCACAGACAACCAGTATATATACTTGTATATGCTACATGTAGATCATGATCATACTATCTCTAATCCAGTTTCTCTCTCCTCTGCATTCATTGTCATCTGAGTATCTACATTCAGAAGATTTTCTTTAGCCAGAAAAGTGCAAGCTCATGTATGAGTTTATGTGTCTGCAGAATGAGGGGTTTACTTGAGATGATACTAAGCAAAGTCATTTTAAGGAGGAATACCTCCTTCCAGTGACCATCCCAGCAGTAGAGCACACACCTTGGATATAGAAGAACATACCAATTCCATCAGAAATCTTTGATCAGATATGCAAGATAATAAAAACCAAGATTGATGTGAGTGTATATGAGCTATCAAATTTCTCTTATCACTCACATTGATTTTATGTGGTTAAAAAGGATGGAAAGAGTCTGAGGCTAGTTTACTGCCTGGAACCCTTGAATGCAGTCACTATCAAGCATTCAGGATTGCCCCCAGTGACAGATGAGCCAGCAGAGCATTTTGAAGAGAAATCCTGTAGTGGTACACTGGATCTCTATGTGAGACATGATAAGAGAATACAGGCAGAAAAATCCAGAGACCTCACCACATTCCAAACTCCATTTAATGCTCTGAGACTAGAAACATTACTCATGAGATGGACAAACTCTATACTGACATTTCATCATGATGTGACATATATATCAAAGGAGGAAGTACCCCACATCACTATACTATATGTAGATGATATTCTGGTGTGAGAACCAAAAACATGCTGTAAGACTAGCAAACTTTCTGATACAAGAAGGATGCATCTGCTGTTGCAAGTTCTTTTATAATCACCAGAGGGAGATCCAGCAGCTCAGAGTGGATCCAACAGAATCAGCCTGGAGCAAATGGCTCATTGGTAGTACAAGCTCTAGCATCCACTTTTGAGGGCAGATGGGCAGAATATAAGCAGAACATGAAAGGGATAAAGGAGAGATTACAAGGGTTGCTCCAAGCTGTCTGCTTGTGCAATACCAGGCTCAAAGGCTTCTAGATATGCTTATGGCTTCAGCTTATAGGAGACTAGCAGAATTTTTTTTTTTAGCTTTGTACCATAAAAGTTGATTCCTTTTCTACCTAAAAGGTTCTCCTTTGAATACCAAGGGCCTGAAGGTCTGTTCTCTTATCAGTGATAGCTCCTATAAGCACTTAGACCATCCTTTTTTGTGGCTCCACCTAACCTATACCAGCATAACACCATCAATCCACTTTGTAGGTCTACTATGTGCACTTGAATCAGCTACACCTTCTATATGTGGTGCCTTCTTAAATAGCTTTATAAGATTATCTATGCCTGATCCACTTCTGATCAGGTGAAGCATCCATCTGTGTGCAGGCTCCAGCTGATAAGCATCCATTCCTAAATGCAGATGCAGCATTAAAAGTTGCATGCTGGACACAAAGGAGTAGACAGCAGGCAGCTGTCTGTCATTGTTTTGCAGGTTATTAATTGCACAGTGGATCTCCAGATGGGTTGTGTCAGTGTTCTGTTGCTTGAGCCATAGTGAGAGAATAGTTTCTTGTTTTGAAAGTAAAATGCTTACTGCTCAGCCTCCTTGATACTGTGGTGGATCTGGAGCCAGAAAAACCAAAATTTGGTGCTCATGATATCATAGTGTGGCACACTGAAGCAATACTCTCACAGGAGCAGAAAGAGAAATAGTGATCCATTGCTTTCATCTCCAAGGTGCTCATAATTATGAAGAGAAATTCTAAGATCTACAATACAGAGCTTCTTGCCATCATGCTTGCTCTGGCCCAGTGGTGACACTACCTGATGGATGCAGCACAATTCAAGATTTGAATGAACCATCAGAACCTTCAATGCTTCTAACTCTGATAGAAACTAAATTGATGACAAGCATGCTGAATCACTGAACTGGCAGAATGTTAAGCTCAAGTGACATGTGACCTAAACATGTGATAAACAGATGCTGTGTTGTTTTTATACAGTCACATCTGGGTTCACTATGTGTGTTTATATGACATTGTGTCTCAAGGCTGTTGCAAGTAGGCTTGAGATAGAATGGTAGATGTGTAAACTTTAGCTTGAAGCTGGAGTTAAACCAGTGAGAGCTATCCTACTTATATACAGTTTGTTGATAGCAATATAAATACTACTACTTATTGTGTTCTTTGTGGTCTTTGTCCTTGAGCATTGCTACCATCTACAAAAGTATTGTTGTGCATTATCAGGCAACACTGTTGCATCAAAAGACAATGACTGACTGGGCTTGTTGTGATGACTAAGCCAGTCTCATAGTTCTAAGCACTGGTCTAGATGCTCTGACTAAGCATAAATAGGAGTTAAGATAAAGAAAAAGAGGAAAAATTGTAATGCAGAATACAACTTCTTTCTTCAACATAAGGTGGAGACTGCAAACAAGAAGGTATTGATGAGCTTCTGAGCTCTGTGTGCTTTTAAATTGCAGGCCTCAAATATTATTTTTGACTTCTGTCCTTAAACAGGCTTTTAGTAAACCAACTATTTTAGGTTTAACAGCAGTAATTTCATCAAAAACTATTTATTATTCACAGACCTCCTCTTGTGTGTGAAGATTATATGTTATATATAAACTTTCCTTTTGTCTGTGAACTTTTCTCAATCTTGCAAACTTTTTCCATTAACTTTCACAGTGTATGAACTTTCAATTTTAATAAGCACTATAGACATAGCCAGATACCACAATACCTGATTATATAAGACATATATCATTATTAGTATACACATGGCACTCTAATGCAGCCTACAAGATCCATCATGATATGTATACAAGGTTGGCTGCAGATGTCTAAGCTTTTTACAGCTGGCATGTCAAAGAGTAATAGGCCACAGAAGACTAACCCTGTTTTTGGTTAGATATTCATAAGGAATATCAAAAAGGCTAGCATACTATTGGCTATGCAAATTTTTAAATATGCTAAATTTACTAAATGCCTCACAGCCTTGAAGGCTTTATGTAATAAAAATTTTGCTATGCTCACTAAGCTAATACTCCAGTTACAAAGGCTGTTTTAAATGTCACATACTTAGTATTAGTAAAAAGGTAGTATAAGTAGTGTACAAAGAAGATCTGAGGAAAAGGACAAAACAGAACACAGACAAGCTATACAGAGACTACTTGACACCTATACTAAACTGTACACTAGTGCAACACCCCTCTAATAGAACTAGTTACACAGACTGCATATGGGTTAATACCCTTTGACTGAGAGCACTATCGCATCTTGACAACCTTATACCCTATCTGGAGGCTTGCATAAAACACTAGTGAACTTATTCATTCATGAAATATTGACTTGTCTTGCTTCATTCCCAAAAACATGAAAGAGATCTGCTTCCTTTGCATGTTATCCTCACATCCATCAGACCTAACAAAAGATCTTGAAGGGTAACTAGACAACACTAACAATTTCTCTAGACATTGCCAGAACCACATATAGGATTCTGACACTAAAAGTTCATGCTGCATATAGGTTGCACCACTCAGTATCCAGATTCTTATATGATATTTCTGTTATAGAAAAATTTGCATACATACTGTGAGTCACTGTAAACAATTTAGAGCCTTATACTCCTGTAGCCACCTCTTGCTACACCCCTTTGGAGATTAGTCACTATATTGAGATACACAACTAGACTCACTTGGACCAGCTGTTAGACCCAAGCTGCATATGATCATAGACACATGATAAACTGATGTCACTTTGCACTTCAAGTGAAACAACAGAATCCACTGGTGTGAATATTGATCAGTGTGCTATAAGGCCTTGTGATCAGCTCAAAAGTAGAATGGTATGATAATAAAATTTAGCTCAAAGCTAGAGATTTCCAGCAAAAGTGAGTCTCCTTATATACTGTACATGTTGTGGATAAATATAAGACTACCTATTGTATGTTTCCAAGTCCTGATGCCCATTGTCCTTGGGCATTGCTACTATACACAAAAGGTTAGTTGTGCATTGTCAAGGGCTGATCACTATGTCAGAGGACAATGATGGATTGGCTCATCTTTGTGATGACTAAGCTTCTCCCATAGTTCTAAACACTGGTTTAGGTGCTCTGACTAAGCATAAATAGGGGTTAATTCATATAAAAGATAATAGAAGTGAAAAAATTGTAATATCAGCTTTCAGATTCTGTGCTTTGGTTTCACTTACTGATATAGGTTTTGTGTTTCCTGCCTGCAGAGAAAGTCAACAAACAACTTCTGGTTCATCAGCAGACTTGCTCAGTCAACAAGCAGACCATGATCAGAGAAAGGATAATAATAACAAGATGGTCATGCTCAAGGCTGAGCACTTTATGGTAATGATCATGCCAACAGAGGAGGAAGCTCACAAGCATATCAAAAGTGCTACCTGACACACTGAATTATGGGATCAGAAGGTGGTCCCATTGATCAATCATGGCTGAGGAATGCCCAAAGAGGGAGATCTGATTTACTACAATAATTGGATCTACATGCTCTGAGATCATGCTCTTCAAGGAGATATCACTGCTTGGTTGCATGACCACATTATTGTGAGACACTCTGAAATTGTAAAGACCATGGAATTAGTATTGTGAGAATACTAGTGGCCAAAACTGAAGAGAGACATTGAAAAATATATGAAGGCCTGCAAAACCTGCCAATGAACCAAGTCAGGCACTGAAGTGAAGGCAGCCCTGCTCCACCCAAACAAAGTGCTGAGTGCACCATGGACACACATATCTGTAGACATGGTCACTGGCCTTCCTGAAAGTCAAGGCTATAATGCCATCATCATCATAGTTGATCACTTCTTGAAGGCTACCATACCAGTTGCATGCAGCTTGCACATTGTCCTCTGACCATGACTATCCTAGTGCATATTGTTGATTGTTCAGAGTACAAAGGAAAAGATCTAGAAATGTTAAAGAGATATATCCATGACTGGACCTTTGATACTAAGTGCATCATATCTGGGGCCCATTTGAAGTGTAACTGTGTACTGAGATGTTGCATGCAGAATGGACTACCAGCTCTGTATAAAGTTAAGGACTTGATAGAAGACAAGGCTTTGAAGGGCAGAGTGATGCTGGAGATGAGGAGGGACATCAGAGCAGTGCTGTGGAATAGCAATATTTATTACAGTAACAATGGGGATGGCAGCTCATCCAGAAATTCTGTATGTGGGACTTCTATTGGTTGCCATACAGAAGAAAATACCTCCCTTTCAATGGAACAATGGGCAGGTAGTAATACTTATGGCTAGGCTCTAGAAGTGGAAGAAATATTGTTGCAGGGTTTTCATGGTATCATAATGGCAGCAAGTAGTGGCATGGAGGACATGATGGTTTCAGACAAGGACTTAAAACATCAGATTCCAAAATTGTCCCAATCTGAGGCTGGCAGGTTTGTCAAGCTGGTCTTTCTATCTTTTCCAATTTTTAATGCTGCAATGTCATGCCAAAGAAAGCTACTTGAATATCAGTTAGTAGGCATGCTTACTGCATTGGCTCCTATAGGCACCAAGAGTGATGGTCATTTTGTACCATTTAGAGAACTTGATGGTTCCCTATATCACATCTTTAACCATCAGTTGCTCTCTGCTCATGAGGTACAGAAATCTTACCCAGTGACAGCTTTGCAGGCATTGGCTGTTTAAATGGAGTATGCTGCTCTTCAGGCTGGGGAGGTTGTCCAAGGTGATTATGCAACATCAATATCAAGGCTAATAAATGGCATCTCCCAAGAACTTTGGTCTCCTAACATAAAATATTAATGTTCATCTGCTTTGCTATTATATGACTTGCCATCAAGCACCGGCTTTTTTTCTCTTAGTGCCCTGTGGTGAACCATATTCTGTCTTCAACCATGACCAGTCTGCATCAACACCATCAGGATTTCAGGATTTCACTACAGCTACTTGATGTGCAGATATATCTATAGCACAAAGTCATGCTCAATAATATTGAATACCCATAATCAGATCATCTTTATGTTGAAAGTCTGCCTCAGCCCCCCTCCCTCCCCCCCATGTTTTGTAAATTTTTGGTTTTCTTTGAAGAGAGTGATGCTCTTAGTGAATGATTGTCCCATACATGAAAAGGCTGCAGCTATGGTTTCCCTCATTGACCTCTCTGCAGCCAGCTTTGCATCTTTCTTGTTGACATGCTCAATTCTTGCATTGGTGGCTACTGTTCTCACTGAGAGCCTGGACAGGCTATTTGTATCCTGACACTGATCATCCTGGACACATGAAGGCACATCCCACTCGAGATCAACACTTCTCCACACGACACTTCTCCACACATAAGTTCATTGGGACTTTTCTTTGCCTGTTTATGAAGAAAGGCACTACCAAGCGGGCTCTGGGGTCAGTACTACATTTGAATGTGTATTTGGGCCTTCAAGCTCAGAGAACCAGTTGGACCAAGACTCGTGGTGTCAATCAATCATGACGTACTACAATGGCAGGGACCGCTCCCACCTTGAGAGAAGTGTGGATCTGTGAGTCATTACTTTATGGTCGGTCACAATGGTTTGACTAGCAAGAAGAGGCACCATTGATTTTAATAGATTCATGGTATTTTCCGCCATTAAGCTGGACCTGTTCTGCATCTTGGTCTATATTTAGTTGCTGGTAGATTTATTCATTGCTGTCAATTCTCTGAGTCCATTAGATATATAAATATTTATGCACAGATATTCCTTTAGATTGTGGAGGTATGGTGGCACGCCCACTTTGTCTGGATAGCATGCATCACTTTTGTAGTCTTGAGGGCAGGTTCAGCCTACCTCGTGGTACAAACGGCCCGCTTACACTTGTCAACTACATTCCCCGGAGACGGCTAGTCTTCTGGTCTCCCGGGTCTTCTGATTTATTCTCGTAAAACCAATTAGTTTGCAATCCGACGGGCCATGGGCCATGGCCCGGGGATGAGAACCCTTCCGTTGCCTTGGAATATATCCCTGTCGGCTGTCTACTTATCTAACATTTCTTCTCGGTAAAGTGGGTTCTTCTTGTCTCGTTGTAGCGAGAATAATTCGTTTACCAAAGACATTTGTTCAATAGCGATATTATAGGTGCAACATGTTATGGCATCTGAATACTGTGCTTAGCAATGGTCTTGATCTGTAGGTAAGTTTTGTCAATCGCTTGTAGAGTCATACTCCAGGTGACGTTACAGCCGATGTTCGCATTCCACTCGATATCACTGGCGTTCTTCTCCAACAAGGTTATAACTTGCACAGAAAATGCAGATATTTTTTCACCGCTGACCGAGCACCATAGATTTTAACGCTTCTAACAAACCAACATGACGCCATTAGCTTCAAGAAAGACAATATGGCTGTGGGAAGGACTCCTTAATCAGTATCTGCTCGACATCATCTTTCACATTTCTGCTGACTACGATTAATCGAACGCTCATATAAAAGTGGTGTTGATAACAGTGTGAGACTCCATAGTAAACTATGTCTCGCAAACTCCTCGTTGTTTTTGGTGCTACAGGACAGCAAGGCGGCTCCGTTGTCGCCAAATTCCTCAAAGATAAGAGTTACATCGTTCGGGCCGTCACTGGAAACCCAGATAGTGACAAGGCAAAAGCACTTGCTGCCAGCGGTGCTCAAGTCGTCATAGCAGATCTCAACGACTACAGGAACGTCCTCAAGGCATTCGAGGTTCGTTAACTACACCCTTTTTTTCATACCAAGCTAATAAGATTTTGTCAGGGTGCGTCTGCGGCTTTTGGCTTGACGGACTTCTGGACGCTCCTACCTGCTCTCGGACTTGATGGAGCCTTCGACGGGGAGATCCAGCAGGGCAAGAACCTTGCCAATGCCGCGGCCGCCACCACCACACTCGAGCACTACGTCTGGAGTTCCTTGCCATCTGCTGTGAAAGGCGGTGTTTCCGTTCCCCATATCGATAGTAAAGCCCGCGTCGATGAGTATATCTTCTCCTCCCTTCCTGCTCTTGCGAAGAAGACCACTGTCTTCTGGGCTGGCTTCTATGCCGAGAACCTGGGGACATTTAACCGTCCGGTGAAGCTGGAGGAGGAGGGGGGGAAGTATGGGTGGCTTCTGCCATGTACACCTAGGGCGGCGGTACCCATGATGGGACAGACGAGTGCAAATGTGGGTGTTTTTGTCTCGGTGATCCTGGCGAAGCCGGAGAAGACTCTTCCTTCGAAGTATGTTCTTGGGTCGGTTGAGACTTTGACGATGGGTCGAGTCCTGGAGCTGTGGGGAGAGGCCAATGGTGTGGAGACGGTGTTTATACAAAAGGATGAGGAGGAGTTCATCGCTTCGTGTTACGCTGGTCCTGTGGTTGGGAGAGAGCTGGCGTTGAACATGAAGTATTTTGAGTTTGCAGAGACTTGGGCGAAGAGCGGGGTAGTGGAGTTTTTGAGGAAGGAAGATCTTGGGATCGAGGATGCGGAATTGGTCAGTATGAAGCAGGCTTTTGCGAGGATGGATTGGAGCGATATTTTAAAGGCATAGTCGTGTATGAACGTGTGTTAATTGAATTTCTTGAAAGCCATTGTCGTCCTTTGAAGCTATGTGACGAAGAGCAATGCTCCTTTTTCTTCTGCTTCCTCAAATTTTGACAATGGTAGCAATACTCAGATATTTGCATTGAAAGGCAGATACTCATACTCAAAAATATGCATGGTTTCCGTAATCCTCGGATCCTGCGTTGAGAATCGATCGGATTCCCCATATTTTATCGCCTCACTTCTGAAACATAATTGTGTAACCACGACAAAATTCCGAAGCAGGTACGTACCACGGTCGGCTTTTTCTGGATTTAGCGATGCGATGCAACAGAAGAGCAGAACTCAATACTCACTGATGGATATCTGTATTACCTAGCTGGAAGTCGAACCCACGATTCAAGCGGAAGAACAAGCTAGTTCAATCATCCACTCAAGGTCCATCTCCTGACGGCACAGGGCCGCTGTCGACGTCGAAGTGGCATTCCTTAGTGATGATCAAGATTTATGCCGAGAATAAGAGGTGCACGAAAATAAAATGACAGGCTTGTATTAAGGAACGCGCCCGTGATGATATCTTGTCTCTCTTACGATCAGATAATGTCAGTGCTCAGGGAACGGCGGGTATTATTGTATTAATCAGATCCAGTTGTGCAGAGGCAGGGATGTGCACCTTACCATTACGGATACAGCCGTAAACTGTACAAAAAATATCGCCCACGGAACGGTACGGTTGATCACATACCCGTAACGTTGACCGTACACGGACGGTTTCCCGACGACAACGAGTATCTGTCATGAAAATGCAAGTATTAATCGCTTCATTAAGGTTATATTTACTGACATCGATGTCGTTAAATGGTCTCCTACCTCTCCTTTGATGACCGTACTTCAGCCGTATGAATACTTATACGGCCGTATTTTGGGTCATCGGAGGTGCTCACGGTACGGAGCCGCATCCGTATCCGCAGTACATATCTACCGTACTACGGTTACGGTGCACATTCCTACGCGTCAGAAACAAGGGCGGGGGTTTAAAGTTTTCTCTGAGTCAGAAAGGAAAGCTGAGATCCCTGAGAAGAGGAGCACGGAGTCCGGCCGATGTTTTGGCGTTCTCTCCGCAACAACGACCATTCACTTATCCCGTCTTTGTATGCGAGGCTTGGGTGTGCAAAGCTCTCAGTTCTTTTTGTTTTGACCGTTATGCCTCTGTCCTCGTCAGTGGCTTCATTCCAGCACGGCTCGTCCCACTGTGGGTTGAAGAAACCGCTACTAGACAGGATATTTTCAGCGCGAGTGATCGGAGCGCCGGGCAGTTAGCTTGCTTTAACCTTAATCTCTACGTAGTCCAGCACACCCACATTCCGGCGTTGTCCTCCTCCCGCCTCAGACTACCGCCATAACCGCCATTTAGCAAAACTCTTCGGTGTAGGTCACAGGTCTATGTGCGTCGATGTCTTCACTCGAGCATAACCCAGCCTATTTGGCATTGAACAATCCAAGGAGGCAGTGTATTGTCATTTCAAAAATTTCGGGATTATTGGAGCGTATATCATCCCACGCTCGCGCCATGACGACGGCGTTCTATGGGGCATCAACACCTAACTCTTCCACAATATGATGACCATGTACAGCGGTGACCGTCGTCATTGTCGCCGACGGGGCTGGTTTGCCTTGACCCACCCAAGCCTCTACGACGTCCTTCAGGGCAACAACAGACGCATCTATCACACTCATCGCCGATCACTATTTATGGTACCGCCCTCTCCTTCCACATTCCACCCTCCCACCATTGCCTCTGTGCACGTCAGCTTCGACAATCAGGTAGCGCAACAACTGCCAACTGCGCCTTATCTACAGTGATGTATCCAAGCCCCGGTCGACACGCTTGCCATGAGGGAATACAATCCAGCCTTTAAAGTCTCGATGATCCTCTCTCTGACCCAATCCACTGTCGTATTGCACTGCCTTGGGAGGACAGACATCCTGAAACCAAAGCGGTGAGGGTACGATCCCCGTGTCTTGGATGAGATCGGCGATTGGAGATAAGTCTATATGTATTACATGTGTGGGGTTCTGATTTCTCCGCAAGTAGCACGAACTTCAGCTCTGCAATCAGAGAAGTACACCCAGCTTGCACTTGAATATTCCTGAGCAAGCGACCTAGTACGCAGGCATCGAAGAATCCGTGTCCTTTGATCTGGAGATGGGATATTGACCAGAGCTCCGTGCAGCCACGTATATCGTATGCTCCACCTCCACGTTCTGGGAATCGAGCGCCGCATGCCACTCTGTTGTCCTTTCACCCTACTATATGCAAGATAACGATGGAGACTCGAGCCGCAAAGCCTCCGTCAAGGTCCCGAACTCAGAGCGCAACAACCATTTCTTTGTTCTGGCCGTCCTGACTTTTACTATTTTGTGATGTTTCTTCACTATCTACATCCAGCGCTTACTTCTTATTGGCTGTATATTAACGAGGTAATTATTGAGTCTTGTGAGCAAATTTTGACTGAACTTATCGCGCTGCCAGGCATCAATGACTTCTCCGACATCAGACGGCCGTGGCCCCTTCAGAATCGTTGCTGGAGTAACACCATGCTTAGTGCCATTAGCGAGCTTACCGCGGTGGTCATCCGACTGATAGGTGGGATCGCCCTCCTTCTCAGCCAGAAGTCATCAATTTCATTCCGGCACGGCCGTATTTTTTCCCTAAAATATATCAGGCTGTCATGTCTCCTTGCCGACGACTGTGTCCTTCGACAATGTATGATCCCGTTATCGTTCCCTTTGAGCCAAGATCGGATTTGAACACAGCGCCACTTTGTGGACACCTCACGGTAATATTCTAGTCCAGCTTGTAATGCTGGCCTGTGATAATTGATAAATGAGTCACTTGAAGACATGCAATTTACAGGTGGAGCAGAGTCCATTTCAACACCTTTGAAGGGAGGATATCGAATATATCCCCCAACCCTCTCGCAATCCAAGCATATTCTCGTTCGTACTTTTTGTGCGCCTCTAGGATCTTGTACGAATTATCCTCTTTCATAGGTCTCCAAATGCATCCCGCGAGTCCCTGATACTCAATGAATTTCGATTTCAGCACGATCTGATGGGACGTTCTTTAATTCTTCTTCTGTCGAGGGTGACAGGTGCACATCCTCCTCATAAGAACAGCCCTGTTGACTTCACTTCCCACCAGCATTGACGAACAATGAACCACAGAGAGGAGGAAAATCTTTCCTTGCTCGCACCGTCCAGCCCAAAGGAGGAGCTACGATTCTCTGAAACGACCCTGTGTTATTCAATCTTCCTTCTTTACACCACCAGAACTCGTCCCAAGCCGTATAGGTAACACACTCTTCATCATAGTCGCATTACTCCTGGGCATCGCTGGGTTACATCACATTACTTATGGGATGGGTGGGACTTACATGAGTAATTCTGGATCAAGAATTATTCCAACGTGCTACACATCTCCACCCCGACCACAATCTCACGATGTGAACGTCAAATCGGGCTCTACTTACCCCCGTGCTGTGCTCCTAAGTAGAGATGCCTCCGTCGACACGATAGTCTACAACGTAACGATGCCTGTACATTTTCGTGCTGGGAAATCGAACAAATCCTGACCGTATCGTTCGCTAGGGCGCGCTGCTCTCTATTGTGTCTTTTTCCAATGGCATAGGTATCATATCGTACAACGAACGTCGGTCTTTCCAACAGCATTGGCACTCGAAATCGTTTCGGCGTCTCCCGAAAATATCACCCTCTCTGTACGTAGGGGGAAGAAGGCGTCGAGTGGATCCCATCTCACGGAAGAATATGTTCCGGTAGTTATCCTAGACTCATTATATTAGGTACATCAGTTTGATCAGCGACATCTGAATCTTCACGTACATGAATGTCAACACTGAATGCATTATCGAGAAAGTAAGGAATGAGGTCCTTGTGCATCACCATAGCATTGCATACTACCTGCATGTCGGCCCGACGTCGACCGGAGGGACGAAGCATGTCTCTGGCCGGGAAAACCTTGTGATGATCAGCCAGCGACAAAAATGATCTTAGAATGGCACTCACTAATTGAGAGAAATAGGGAGGAAGTATCCAACATAACCCAGCCATCTCGACGGAACCACTGGCTACAGAGTTAAGCCTTCCTTAGGATATCATCTAGTATTTATCGAGAGGAGGCTGTCGAATGTAGGTGAGGGGGCTCCGTAGTCAGTACGATTTGTTATATTAGAAAACCCAGTTAGCAAAGCGGATCCCAATAACAATGGCTCGAATCTTCTTCTGTTTGAAGGAAATGTAGCTCTCCTTGGTCCATTGTCCCTTGACGGTGATCTACGCATGATTGTTCGCTGTTGTAACCCGTCAGGATCTCTAGTCATCAACCGCGCCATATGATTTGTCCTATGATCACTGCATACGACGAAATTAGCACCCTCGAAATACAGAGGGAAGGAATCGCATGTTTCCCACATGAAAATCAATCATCAGTCGAATACATCAAACCTGTTCCATTCGGCGATCAGACGTTACTTTCTATGTGGGGATACAGACCACTTTGTTATGGATGGTGGCGTTAGAGAAGCTGGTATCACAGAAGGTTGGCGAAGTCGATGTGAATGTGAAGCGTGCCGTCGGGTATATTGTCTCTTCGAGATGAGAAGAAGAGGTGCTGTCAAGGAATAGAGTTGCTGAATGACTAACCGTGCCGTGGTGAAGGTAGAATACGGATTCTGTGTATAACTGATGACGGATGTGGGAGGAACGATGAGAATAGCGGAATGCTTTTGCGAGAGTCGGTGGCTTCATCATAAGATTCAGTACCACGCTCCCTGACTATGAAGAAATGCGTATGATTGATTCGTTCCCGCTAAGTTAAGTCCAATTCTTATTTCTGGAGCCCGGTTCACTGTTTCAACATGCCCTAATATGCCATTTTAAAGAAAATTTCCACGGCAGGAGGAAGAGGCGATGAGTACACGAAAGGAAGGACAGGTGTTCGACATGTCGCCATGGGGGCTATACAAATGGGTCAAACAAAATCCGGGCATCATTCTGGTCTTGACGAAAGGTTATTGTTCACGTCAAAGGCCACCGGTCTGATTGGGATTTGCGACCATCGGGCGCCGCCACAAGGATATCCCATCTTCGTTCCACCCTCATTTGCCCCGGGACAAACGAACGGTGAAGAAATATATACGGTTATATTCTTAAGAGCGGAACGACGGGAACCAATGCAAAGTTATGTTCACATGTTTTTGGAACATCAATTTGACTTAGGGTTCTCTTCATTGACGCCTTCTAGGACTGATGTTTCATGCGTACACGGTGCTTCGTATACGACCTTCGTCCTGTATTTCATAGTAAAGTTTCTTCTATAGCCTCAAGTAGTATTCCGGGACTCAGCGTCAGCGGTGTGAAGAAGCCTGGTCGGAAGGCAATGATATCGCCAGTCCCAGTCGATTTACACACGCAAGGCTGTATCTTCACGACCAAAGTCAGACATCTTCTGCTTCCTCCTTGCCTCATTGCCATACTTCTACTGATCCTCATTCTTATACCCGTATTATGTGCTCGCGTTGCCGAATACGTCAACATCTGATCATATACCGAACTACGAGACAACTATCCCATATCTTCCGAGTAGAAACTCATGTTTTAGACGCATCATAGTTCCGCGGCCTGTCCTGACTTTTCTCCCGCTAGAGTATCCTCGGTCCTGCACATGATTCCCGTCTCTGTCAATAATCATATACCGGTACTTTCTAAGCTCCTTTCCCATTCACTGACGTATCACTGGATGAATAATCTGAATGTAGTCATCCTTCACTTGTAGAAGGAATCAACTCACCACCGACAGCAAGAGTCCCAACCGCCCACGGGGAAACCTTGAATTTGGCGAAACTTACATCACAGTGCAGAAGATAGCCGGTGGATGACAATGTGGTTCTCCAGACTGACCAGAAAGTCTTCGTGTTTACTACACCTGCCTCCTCGTCGACATCACGTGTCATAAGTTGCATGATCGATGTCTTTGACGCGCCACCCACACTGGTCTCCGCCGAACATGATTCCGGTGATCACATGCAGGAATGGTTTGGACCGCTTCTCAAGGCAGGCGCATGTCGCAGAGAAGCAGATTTGATGAGGATTGATTGATATGCATGAGAAGTTACAAACACGCCACAAACGAAGAAAAGCAGTCAGAAATGTTATTCAGAATGGGACGTCCTAGTGTGAATGGTCTTGACAAATATTCGGCATAACGTACCGTCGTCTCCTGAGGGTCCGCACCTACGTCGTACCGGGGATATTCTTGAATTTGGGTACGATTTCGGAATCCCTACGCCAGAATGCTCTGATCAGGACAGAGAGTAGAATGAGAACAGAACAAGTACCAATCTCACACATACATGTCCCTACGGTATGAACATCACCCATTATAGGATGGGGATGGGAAATACCTCTGTTCTATCAAATTAAAGTGAACGCCAAAACGCGCGGTGAGAACACGTAGCAGTCTGATGGCACACCGAAACATATCATACCGAGCTAAAGTGCACGATGACGATGACAGATAAAGATCGGAAGACGTGATCCATGAAGCTCCCCTGTGTCCCCTTTGAGGCTGCTTAACGTCAGGTAGCAATGACACTAGAAAAGATGTTGGAGAACGGGCCTATACAATTGTAGCTGAAATGAGATGCGGAGAGGACAATCTTCGCAGAGATGCACGGGCTTGTACGACAAATGATTGCTGATAGATATAGCTGAGAACCCTGACCAGGGAACGAAGGTTAGTCGTGGAAGTAAATTGCCGTCGTGACGACCAAGAGAACGTTAAGGAAAATACACACTTGGGTGGTCCGAGGGACTTCCAGAATGGTCCAAGGACGATAAGACGGACTCAGATGGAGGGTTCCTATCTGATTGCTATATTTTTGTTAGTAATGAGCAAGCTTTTCGTCGGGACTTTGTGTCTAAACATACGGGAATGCACTGTTATCCTTTCATGGGAACCAATTGTCCAATAGCCAAAATTTAAATGCTAGCGCGGAGACTAAGATCCAAAGAGATCACCCAGAGATGAAGAACATACAGTCATGAGCTTCAGGGGTGGAGAATAGTAAAAAGCAGGAACATGAAGGGCGGCTCTTATCGCAGGGTTGATGGGGGAAAGATGGGGGCCAATCTATCCTCTCGTTTGTGTCGCACTCGTACTGGGAAAAATACAGCAGAATTAGTTGAGAGATGCCGATGAAAACCAACCGTACAAGAGAAGCGTCGCAGAGGCAGCCGTTCGCATGGTGATTGGTGATGTTTTTGCAACCGTCAGCCCGTCGTCGGGATAATTGGTGCCTGCCGCTTGCCTGAGTCAAAGGACCCTTTGAACACGTGAGCCATGATGATGTAATCTAAAGTCCGGGCCGGATCGATCTTGTGGTTGTTTTCCGACCGTCATCAGACTCGAGAGTTTTTCCAACGGCGGTTCGAAGAGCTTGTAACCCGTTCGTTCTGCACCTTAGAACTTGTTATCGTGACATGAATCCACTGCACCGCCCATACTGCAGTATCTGACCTGTCTCCACCATTGAGAATCTAGTTCAATCCGCAATGTCTCCCTTCTCAGCCGTCGCGGGATATTTTTCCTTACTTCAATACTCGAAGATATTCAGGGCGACCATTTTTATTCTTATTCATCAAAATTCCTAGCTCCCCATCTATCACTTTCTCAGGGATATCATGACTCTGCAGGCTGGTGGGTTTCTTAGGTGAGTCACTGGATCTTCTTTGTTCCACGACAACAATCGTTACAATGGGTGATATATCTATTTATAGAAAGCTCTTTCATACCATCGAAATTAGTTTCAGGCAAACATCTATCTATATCACTCGAGATTTTGACAGTTATTAGGTGTGGGATTGCGTCGCACCATCTCTGCAGTACGATGCTAGTTCAGGGTATCTAGGTATGATATATTCCTCCACGGTGTGATCATTGTGCGGACTACTAATTGCCTGTCAGAAAAGGCAGTTTGAACCATCGACTGGATGGATGCTCGCGCCTGAACCCTGCTCAAGAGGTTCAAGTACGTCTAGCACTTGATAGTATTTATACCGTGCGCAGGCGCTTAGACGAGTTTTCTCTTTCTGACATTTACGGACAATGGTCAAGGCGTCCTTCTTCGAAGAGGAAACGGAATTGAAACTGCTCGTATCGCACCAGGATCACAGAGCATATCATCATTGTTGTACGTACCAATCTGCGTATGCTATGTTTGAAATATAAGTCTGATAAAACACAGGATATGGAAACACATGCTTTCTCCAGTTTTGTTCTGCATGATAGCGAAAGTGATCCAACCCTCCGTTTGTCGACAGATGGATTCGATACCTCGTAGATGCGACAGAAGACACCGTCCGTGTAAACCCTTTCCGTGGAGTCCATCCTCCCCTATATCGATTGAAGACCACAACCTGACGATTTCGTATGACCCAAGAATATGCGGTTATACATCTGGTGACTCTCGTGCAGATATATCCCCGTATTCACGGAACGTGTTGCTTGCAAGACCCTTAAAGACGACACCCCGAATGGAATCTGAGCAACGTAATGTTGTGAATGCATTTCCCGACGGACCCGATCGCTTGGAACATTCTTCAGGTGAGACCGTATTTCCGAAAACTGTTAACAACTCTATCTAAAGAACATCTATCGCCAGGAATACCCAGGCAGGATCTTTTGTTGCACATCACTGTCCATTGGGAAGGACGCGACCATGCTCCTAGTTAAACCATTCTAATGTTGGTCTTTTGGCCGAGGCAGGGGGTGAGTAACGTGCCGTACCGCTCGTTCTCTTTTCTGACAATGAACGTGATTATATCATTTCCTTACCCTTCAAAGCTGTTTAGGTACCGTAGACCGACATCATCGGTAGAGACGACGAAAGCACAGGCAGGCTCACGGATAGTAATCTCTCTCATGAACAAGGTCCCTAACTCGGATGTTATAAACCTGCTTCAGTCGTACCGTGGCGTCAAGGTTTAATATTATTCGGTGCTTCTCTATTGGAAGAGGGTCCCCGTGAGCAGCGCCTGGAGCTGTACTTCATAAGGATCTTCTACGAATGTTAATTGGCAGGTGTTGACGTTCGCTCTCCATTCGATTCATAGGACTGGTTCCCATGGACTGACCCATGACTCAAGAATCAGCGCTCGGCGTCTGGCGGTAGCTGTGTATCCGGTTGCTCAGAGGGGCTATCTTGGAGCCATCCGTCATTCCAATAACTGATACGAGACAATGCGATACATTCCTTCAGGTTCCTTTCCTGTCTGGGCTGTTCCGATATTTCGCATGGGTCTCAACATCAACCGTAGTGCATTCCGCTCTTTACTCTCTTGTTGACTGAATATGCTATATAGGATATTCGAATTCGACAAAAGTATTCTAACTTTGCATCCCCATGCGAAACTCTTCATTCATTCGGTAATGATGACAATGGGCACACAGTCACGATGTGGGTTAACCCTGACCCTTCATTTGTACCCGTCTCATCTGTGTATGGTCTACACGTTGTAGGCTTGCGTTTCGACCCTATCATGCGCCCATCAACATGGTCCCTCGTCCAGACCGTTCGTTGCGGCCCATCGTGATCAAAGGATATGGATTTTCTCTAGTACGAGCATATCATACCACCGGAACCACTCCTCATTCTGCTCGTGATCTACTCAATACTCCAACTTTCTTTGACACGGGAACTTGCGATCTGCACTGCTTCATGGTGCATGGACAGTAGAGTATGGTAATTCTAAAACGTCTACGTGCCGTGTCTGCGGTTGTTCCGTAGATGCTTGGGCCAATCTCATCTGCGCGTGTTGCTGAAATCATTGTTGTTCATGTTCCTGTATCCTTCCGCTCGTAACGTAAGCTTGCTCTGTTGTCGGCTTAAAATCATTCATCGAGTGATCCATATCAGGTTTTTGTGGCTTTTTGGCCATTTTCCCCATCAAGTCCCAACCTTGAACCTACCTCAGAGCCTTGCTCGTTAGAAGATACAATACAATGCGGTTTCAGATGGCTGTATCCGAAGCTCTGCCAAGTTCCCGATTGTCGTTCTATGGACTCTTTTACCAACGACGGTCGTTCTTGAAATCTAATTACTTATCTTCAACTTGAATGCCGATTGATGTATATGGTGGATCATTCATTGGACAGAGTTTGCTCATTCTCTTCCCTTGTCGTTCGATAGAAAAAAGTATACAGTTCGTAAACTTCGTAATCAGCTTTTCCCATATCATTAGGGTCTGGTTCTACTGACTCCGCTCCGAAGCGAGAAAGACCCGGGACCGAGTGACCCAACTTTCATCATACGTGATAAGCAAGCTTCTCGCTATTTTAGGTTAGGTCCATAACATTCATTGACAGAGACCCTCAGGGACATCGTGCCATGAGAGCTTTCTATTATGTACCATTGAAATGGGTCTTGGATTTCGCAGGCTGGTGCATTACAACACCGGACCGGCTGAAATGTAAGGTCTCATTACTTATAGGACCCATACGCTACATATTTAACTCCAGGCCGTATGCCACAGTTTTCCGGTGTACAGAACATAAGATTATGATACAAGCTGTTTGTGCTAGCGCTGGGGCCAATGGCGCTACTCACCCACGGTTCCGTGCAGAAACGAAGAAAAGATGTTCCAATGACCTCAGTGGCACATTGTTGACTTTCAATGTTCGGATCACATCTACTGACGGGCTCCTTCCGAATATAATGAAGCTCTGCTGGTTCAATTGAACGGTTCCGGGATCATACGTCATTAACGTGAGCGGAACATACATCGTTGATTGTGAAAAATATATGTGGCATCCCGAAGGCTTTCTCAACTTTTTCCGCGGGATGTGACTTGAGAATATTATATTCAAGAGCTCTAATGGCTCGCCATCTTTCTTTTTCTTTTTTTATTCTTTTTTCGTAAATGGACATCGCGTGGGATCTAAGCTTGTGGTTGTAAATGGTTATATTGGTATGCATAGCATTTCAAATAAAGAGAGAGCTATTCGGAGTTCCTGATTGGTGTGTTACTCCGTGAGAGCGACGGTGCGGTTAAACGACAAGCCGCTCAAATGATGCCTTGGTGAAGGGGTCAATAGTTTAGTGATACTCCTTGGAAAGCGAGGATGACGTCTGTATGGCCTTAGATTTAAGTAACTCGGCGATAGCCAAAGTGGGGGGAATGTCCAGGAAGTCGACATAGAGCTGTCCTTCCCCGGTGTTTCCGCGTGTTCATCAAAGGGAGTCAGAAGTCCATGGTTGTTTGTTACGCCTACGAATGATTCCTTCAACTCCATCCGTAAGCATTGACAGAACTGGTTGTGTGCGGTGAAAAAACACGAGTTCTGCCTTTATTTCGGCCGCGTCTTTTAGGCCATAAACACGGGGGATGAAAGGGAGAAAGATGCAAAAGATGCGAATCCCCAAAATCTTGAGCGGTTGCCGCGTGCGAACTTTGATGAACATTTCTATATATTTAGTGATCAAGACAAAAATGTTGCGTCTGATCGTACGTTGTCGTGTAGAGCAGTGCAAGGAGAATGCCTATGCCTCACTCATGCTACCTGAAGCTGTCTAATTAAACTAAAGATGAAGATACTACTGTGAAATATATCTGGAGAACATAGCGTCTTTGTGACTACAAAGTCCTGGACGAAGCCTTCAAGCTTCAAGTCATGAAGATGTTAACTTGAACAAAGTATATAAGAGCGACTCCTTGCCAGTAGTAGGCCAAATAAGATGTGCCATAATTTGTCGATTCGCGAACATGGATTGGACGTACTCTCTCCCAGATCTTGAGCGTCGGCGTATAGATCTTGTGCCGATCTAATCAACCCGCCCGCCACTCGCAAGTCACCGATAGGCAGATGGTAGCTCAGCGCCGGGTATTCGGTCCGTGTCACACTGATATGTTGCCAGCGTCCTGTACCGATTGCTTGGTTTCCGGTCACAGACGCTCTATGAAGTAAAGGTCCATTGGAAATGGCATCGATAAATATCCTTAAAATACGAGCTAGTTCACTGACACCTAAAAGAGGACGAGAAGCCTGTGAGCCTGGATCACCGACTGAACTCTGGCTGAAGCCCGAAGGCTTCTGACATATACGTATACTGTAGTCGTTCAAGTCTACCTGATGTCATAATATGCTGCGAAATGTAGTTCCAGGGTCCTCTCGAGTCTCGGCCTGCCAGAATCGGTGTCCTCGGTAAATTCTGGGGGCATGCTTCTTGAAAATATGGCCATCCAGATACAGTGTCAGACGAACGGATAAGTCCATTATCAACTGTCCCAGTCGACTACGACGTTCTCATTGTTCCATTGTTGATCATTCCAATCCCAGAAGAGTTCTTCTTCCCGTTTTCCGTGCTTGAGTTCCCAAATCCATCGACTTCTCGATACTCCGACATGTAGAGCCGAATTACAAACCCTCACCCCAATTTACATCAGGCTTACGTCTGTTATCTGGGTAGATATCGTCCCACTGGGATATCAACTGGTGCCGCACTACGTTCTCCTTTCACAGAACTGGTATTCTTAGACACTTTAGAGCTCATGACTTGAGGCGACCTGAATAATTCTGTTTTCAGTGGTATTCCGTCAAGATCACCCCGTTTTACGTATACAACTTAGCGCATACTCATTCGTATACTCATCCTTAACAGTGTTCATGGCGGAATGCCTTTACTGGTTAAACCAATTAAGTATACTTTGTCAAGATTTATGTCTCCAGCTCGGAGGCGTACTCAGATCACCGATAAACTTAATCATCAAGGCGATCCATAGCAACGGTGGATACTCCCTCATCTCGCAGAGAACCACACCACGGAGCAGAAGGACAGGCGAGAGGAATAATACATGAATGGAAAGGAAGTCTCTCACAAGAGCTGGGTTCTAGCACTCTAGAGCATATAGACATAAGAATATTTGACGCTCTAATGCCTTGAAGGACGGTTGGACACGCCACATAGGCCAAGCATCCCCGGCCGGAGGCAATGGAAACAACTCCGGCCATCAGACATAGCATGGACGCCGCGAAGCGGCTTCAGAACTTGAACCGATATCACAGGGAAAGAAATCAATTGACGCAAATAAATGACCATGGAATATGTTCCAATCAATATGGAGAAATAGCTCCAGAAAAAAAATACAGACATCTAGTTCGTATGTACCACCACCTTTACGACTTCTCTATGATCGTACGTATCTCGTATATATCTTGATATTCGCTCCAGCAACTTGACGGACTTCACCAGCGGTTCTCCGAGTGGAAGGTGTGAGGTCCGAGCTTCCGCGTAAGAGCTCTTGTATCGAGTCGGCTCTAGAGAATCCCAAATAGAAACCTTTCCATAGACAATATTATCAATATCTCGCGACCAAAACTCACCACTGAAGGAGGTCTCAGGCATGATGCAATTTGCGAGCGTATCGGGAGGAACCAATAACTTGTAATTAATCAACGATGCGTGAAATAAGTCAAAGCACAAGTGACACAGGCGAGAATTGACTTCGAAGATTTGTCACCAGTTGAAGGATTTCATAGAATGAAGGTGTTTACGCACATATCACCATCGGAATTGTGACATTCGGTAGGCTGAAACAACACCAGCACTAGTGCCACTTATCGGAAGAGTCATTCGGCTACACAGAAGGAGGCGTGTTCAGAGTCGATAATAGTTTAAAAACGGATAAGCGAGATTACCAGTAGGCAAAAGGGGAAAGATGCGTTGCGAGGTTAGGGATACCCGGGCACCCACCGTAGCCTAAAATATGACTGGAAGGGGAAGATGAAAGAAAAATGCTACTGTTGACGGAACTATGTGATGTAGGCACTGGATTGCTATGAAACAGTACATGGCTCGAAGACGCGGCATGCACCATCTGTCCTTTTAGAGTCAGAAAAGACTGGAGACACAAGGAAGTGTATGAACTGGAATTGAAGGCGATAGAAGTTATTCCTCTAGCTGGACCGGTATGCTCCACAAAAAATAGAGGTTGCAGTCAGAAGAGAACAAGAAGTTGCTATGATGATAACTTTGAGGAATCATTTGTCTGAAATAGGTGTTAGCCTCCTTCGTGAAAGAGTACTAACAGCCGGCCGATGCCTCGTTCCTTTGTAATTCTTGAACGTGACTTGATGGTCTAGATCTGAAATTATAGATAGAGTATTTCAACCACAGAAATATAAATGTAGTGAAGAACCTTTGGCGATATTATCTCTTCAGAGAGCAAAGATCGGCGCCATGAGCATGTTGGTCAAAGTCGAAGGTAGGAAAGTGAAGAGCGCCGGTGACGATCTAATCTTACCTGAGTTACGTCGGGCCGGTGACTTTTTGATCTCAAGCCGACCACCCCAGACCCTCAGCGACATGAGAAAACGCACTTGAACAACGCAGCTTTACGCCGGTCTCCGCCGCTTTGTTTCATTCTTATTCTTCAAATACTAAACGATATCATACCTCGGGATTTCGCGGAATCCATCACTGTAGATTATTTGCAGACAACTGAGCGGCCGATGTTTTCGCATTTTCTTCGTGTTCATTGGCTGATTGTCTGCGTAGCCAATGAGGTGCAAGGTTCTATGCGTGCTCGAGCTCCAGGGGTACGACATCCTGAATGATGCAATCTGGATGAAGATATTCTTGGTATTTCTCGATATCAGGGTCAGCTTACTGAGATGGGCGAAATCTCCGCAAGGTCAACAATGCGACACTATCTTCAATGAAAATTTCCTCCGCCTTCTCGTATCTCTCTCTCTGCGTTTCTCTTTTTCAATTACCATAATATTCGAAGCTGAGACATTAGTAGGGTCGAACAACACTCGATCTCGCAGGATATTGTTTATCGCATGGCTGAGTGAATTATATATCCTCATTGGAGGAGATTTTTGTTTCTCTCACTTTTCTCCAACCGCAGAAGTGGAGATATCAATACTTTCAACCGGCTTCCTTAGTCAGCCGTATTCCTTGTCTTTGTTATTGACGCGAGCCGGATATACATATACAGTCATAACAGCCTGGTAAGCAGCGAATTTCCGCCTTCTTATTTTTCTCAGAAATAATGTCAGAAACGTACAGCGCTGTTCCCATGGAGTACAATCACAATCCGCCTCCTTCGGCATTGATGATATCTGGGACTGTTATACGACATGCCGTTGTCTTTCAACCGTCGGTGGTATTCACTGTGCATGATGTTCCTTGAAAACCTACACACGCTCTGTCGATCTCTCTTTCCGGGCGGCATGTGCAGATTTAGCTAAGAGCCACACTTTGTTTCCGTCGATCGGCAGACCGCAAATCCATAACGAGGTCCCTTCCCACGTAGAAAGGCCTAGCTGACGGTGTACTGTACGTTTACAGTTCATACAAGCATTGAAATGGTCCATATCCACCAGCACCTTGGCTACGGCTGTGCCGAATTGACACGCCTCTTCATCGATTTCACAGGTTCATCTTTTCTTGATCGGGGTGAGAGTGGGTAGTCAGCGCTCACCAGATTAAGCACGTCATGCGTATTCCATCATACGACGTTGCTGTGAATGTCCGCCGCTCCCCGTTGATCTGGTTCCGGGGGGCTCAATTGAAATTGAACCACGAACCAGACTGTTGATGTGGTATTTCCTGCACCAACCTATGATCCGGGAACATTTGTTCAATAGAGACTGGATGGTTATCGTTATCTACATGCTGCGGTTACATTCATTCCCTTCTTTTCGCGGTTCATTTCTCCGAAAGGAATGATGATTCTCTCACACGCTTCATCATCCTTAGAATTACTCGGCGGTGCGTCAGCGCTCCTGCTCCGAATCGACCTTACTACATGAATTCAGAAGCAAAAATAGGTGCATCATCGCTGCCACAGAACGATACTTCAGCTTCCAGGGTGTAAATGCGATGGGGAAACACGAGGCTTTCGTATTGATGTTCCCCTTGATACGCCGCTGATACCCCGAAGCCTTACCTTCACCTTACGACGTTGACTGTCTACCCTTAGAAACGAGACGACTATCCGCGAAGACAGTTTCTTGACACCTTTAACTTTGCAGTAATATGCTCCCTTAATGACTTGGCTCACATATTTTCTCGGGAAAATCCAAGGTGATGGTAGATCCGGGAACTAGTTCATAAGATGTCCTCCATGGCCTCTTCACCGACACTCTGTTCCATCATAGTCTCTCATATCTGCGGCGATAGATGGACGGTTTCAAGCCATTTCCTGACAGCCGTGCATATTACTTCGAGGAATCGAAGGGCAGAGCTGGGAACCCGTACCGTCTTCTTAGGACCGTAACGCGGTTCAGCGAGGTTTCGCTTGCAATTCATCTCGTTATGGCACGAAAGACTATACTTGTTAGTTTCAAGGCTGGCCGTTGACTTATTCTCGGTTAGAGTTGCTGGTGAAGCAGTAGCTTCAGAGTTGTGACCGAATTCTGCATAGGCAAAGTCTTTTGAGGCGTTGGCAGAAGAAGATACTGTTGATTGTATGTGGCGAGCTCTATGTCATCCTTCTCCCTAGTCACGTGGACAAATAGGTTATTAGCTACTGATCCATGCTCTGTTTCATCTCTAGGATTTTTGATCCTAGACATGGCATGTTAAAGAGCGGCTCTGGGAGCCCATGATGTCCGGATTTTTTGGATCGTTGTGTTTTGCAGACAATCTGTCCCCAATAATTGGATCCGTTCTTAACTTGAAAATGTTCCTCACTGTACGCAACATATATACGGTTTGTCTCGCTATAGAATTATTTTAGCGTCTTCTTCTAACCTTCCTCATTCCTCAGTACGCTCGCGGTCTTGATCAGACGTACACAGTGAGCACTTTCATCCATCCCTGAAATTTACATCTATACCATAACTCTAAAACACTCTGAAACCGTTACGAAGACAATTATTGTCGACACTGGCCATCGTCCGACTGCTGAAAATGCAAGAAAGTACCGGATATTCGGCCCGTGGCTGCCATTCATAGGCTTTGACTTGAAGTAATGTCTCTTACCCTACGTATCGGTGATTCTTATCACCTACACAAGTCGATTTCCATCTGCAATGTTACTACTTGAACGTCTCGACGAAATGACATGAGAAGGCAGAATTTTTTGCCCGTAACATTACGTCCGACGAATGTTTAGCCGGCAGTAAGTTCCGATTCGAGGAAGAATCCACGCTCATTACGCTTATCCGGAATTCCGGTCTTCTACAGACTCCGACATAGTATGGTTCTATCAGGGCCGAATTTCTCAAATGTACCACCGACACCCACGCGTGACAGCACAGCAGGGGAGTCCGCTCTCAGATCTAGCCCGACATGTATTTTTCCCAGGAGTATGAAGAAGGAACCTGGCAGTTATCACCCTACCAGATGTCGTCTTTGGATCTAAAATCCCTTATGGTGGTAGTTTCCCTCATCCAGCGATGAGGGCTGGAGTTGGCGCGCCGATTAATTTATGTCTTAGGGCAACTAATTATGCCTTAGGGCAACTATTTATTTCTGGATATAGATATCGAAGCAACCGACGCGTCGCATTAATAGGTCACCTAACAGTTACAGATGAGCAGTATGTTCATAAATCTGAGTCGTCTTCTCGTCAGTAGCTGCTCTGGACGTCGATTGGGAAATAAAGCTACGTAGTCTTACCATGAGAAGAGATAGGTTAGGAATACGAAAATCATTGATATCTTGTTGATATCCTAATCACGGAATCCAGTTATCGCGCCAAGATGCACGTGAATACCCAGCTGTCCAAAATGGCGGTGGTTCGAGGTTCATGTATCACTCGGACTTCATTGAACAATGAGCATCGGAGCGAAGGATAAAACATACGGAGATGTCGAGCCAGAGAGTCAATTCGACATGTTTTGTTTTGACTGATGAACTGAGAAGCAACAGCGTGAACGAATCAGATCAACGGCGGTCGACGCGCCAGCGCGATTAACTTTCGTGACTATGAAGCGCCATTGCCTTTAAATGGCTGTTGGTCACTGACCAGTGAAAGATTTAGAAAGTAATTCGGATTCATGAAGTTACATGAGGCTAGAGCTTTGATCGTTCGTTAGTCAGGTCATCGAACGCAGGCTGTGTCTGGAAAACAAGGCAATGCTCTTGTCCTTCTTTGCCTCATTCCTCTCACACCGGTGTTTCTCGATCTTGTACCCGTACTCCGCGTTCGAGTTACCGCATAGGTCCGCTTCAGCTGATATCAAGCATGCTGTATAACGGGGCCGCAGACATGCTTTGCCTTCTCTCCTCATGAACAATCACCTTACCAAATATCATCGAGGTATCATCGTGGTTCTCGTCCGCTGACGCATCGTAGGTAAAATATTTATTTGCCTGTATTGAATTTGTATTAGTCATTTAAAATCACCTGAAGATGGTATCAGTACGCCACCAGCAGAAGGCCTCATGCCGCATGCCTATCAACTTTATGTTCTGGAAACGACATGTCACTCTGAAGAAGAAGTATGTATAAGGTTAATTAAGAATCTTTCAATACAGGTGTGAGGCTCACCGACCCCACACCCGGGCCCCGCAATAGAAATCCGGGCTTTAATGGCATACTGTAACGTATGGTTTTGATGCGCCACGCAGACAGTTTGAGGCAGGCTGCTCCGGTAATCAATGGCTGCAGGCATGCCGTGAAGTAGTTTGTGATCAGAGCCAAATGTACAAAGACGATAATTGATCGATGTAGCTGAAGCAAATAAGATTGAAGGACGATATACTACGCCACAAAAAGTGAGACGTCATAGAATTACAAGAACTACAATGCTCTTCGGGCTATACATCTTCAGGAATATCAAGGTAACTATGACATCTTTCCTAGAGTAGCATATCCACAGAATCTGGCTGCTACCCTCGATTCCTAAGCCCAATGATCAGTAAGGGTGACAGGGTCTAGTTCAAACAACTTACTGACAGTGTTCGCTAAAGCATGCAGAACCATCTCTGCTGTGGCGTAAGGGATATATACCGATGCTGAGGAATTCTGGATCGATCCAATGTAATTTGAGAGCCTCGAACCTTCCCTAGCAAGCCTAGGTAAAACGATTAGCATAACGAGAACTTGGATGCTCGAGTACATCGCGATCTCCGTTGTGCAGGCAGCATACTGATCACGCTATTACGAGAAATCCCACCCACAGTTAGGGGCCAAATTTCAGTAGAGATACTATTTTCATATAAGAAGTAACGGCAAAGCATGATCGCCCACGCAGACAGGGCCTGTCGACATTGATAAACTTTGAACATGGAGCTGAAGAGATAGCTTTACTAGGACTCTTTGAGCATGACAAATATTCATCAAAATTGAACTGATTATAGTGAGGATTCCGGGGAGAAGGGCTGCAGAGAGATCGTTGTTGATGTCAGTGCAAAGGAAGTGCTTGTGCCGACCCCGTGATACGTAAATCTAATCTAATCAAGGGGTATATCCCCGGGGAATCCCGGACCGTGTTGAACCCGCCGATGGCTTCATCTTTGCGGCGGTGCAATGAAGATCACCCTGACCTCTGCCGAGCTGTTTTTTTAGGATTCATTTCCTGGGAAAAGTACTCTGGCGAACCTGGTTCAGTAGGCCGGCAGTCATCTATTTAGAAAAGTCCAATCGGTGGTCAGTTGAGCTATCTGATTCTCGGTGCTCAAATCTATGGAAAAGTTGGATTGTATATTCTCCTATGACTCCTAGACTCTAGTTATTGGTTTCGAGAGCTGATGATTTCGCCAACATAGTATCTTTTTGCTGGGCTCGCTACTCTCGATCTGTTGGACTAGCTTAGGAACCGCCTATGGTCGTTCAATCTGATCTCATTAGCGCTTCTGAAGTCAGGGTCTCTGTGTATGGCTAGGATGCTTTACGAAACTACGCAACTGGAGCGAGACTATTATCGCTGGTTTTCGTAAGCTGTGTTACCTCTTTATATGGCGTTTCCAAAGCTCCGCGTTGGTACTCTATCTTCGTGAAAATGTGTATCGCACTGGAATTTCAAGCTCTTCGCATAATGACGGACGGTTCCATGTTTTCGCATGAATAATGGGGAACGCACTGAACAATTGTAATTAACCGGCTGCTCGGTGTTTGGTCATCAAGTTATTTGTTTTATTGGGTGCTAAATATTACGCTACAGTTAATCGTATGAAAGAAAGCTCGCAGGATTTCGTGATGCTGTCCTCTCCTTGTTCTATAGGCGCTGCCAAGACCGAACCCCATTGGCGTAATGCTGCAGAGCCCATGTCGTAAGGCCCATCTTACGGGACATTGCACCGGATAGCTCGGTGGCTATTGAAATCTCACCCCCATTCCACCGACTGAATAGCAATATGAAGTCGTGACGAGCTCACAGTCTGACACTTCCGAGGCGATGGTTCTTGATCGGTGCGAGGGTGGGGAAGTTGAATACTCACTGAATACCAGACTCCGCGTTTTATCTATGAGCCAGATAAGGTTCTCTCGTGACGTTTTGGGTTTAGCACTATTTTCCCGGCTGTCCCGCCGAGTGCAAGGCGATGCTCAGGGGATACCATCAGTCCTTGGTTCTATTGGCAGCGGAATACTGCGATCTCACGCGATCCCACACATTGGTTCTTTCACACATTCCTGCGCTGATGGTACCACTGTAACCGAGAAGTCCCGTTATCTTCGAGGACTAGGTTTAATGTCGGAGCTTTGGTCAAGTTCCAGGGAGGAGAATTTTTTTTGGGGGGGGAACCGGTCTGCTATTCTATGGAAGTCTAGGATTGTCCAATGCAATCGACGCAGAGTCTTGGGCCGTGGTAGGGCTTGTTATTTGTCAAATTATTCAACGAGAGATTTCGAGGTTGAGGCACGTGTGACTGACTATTTTTTACGGACTGTTCGAGTCTCACATATCTTTAGATCGTGCAGCTCTATACCCTCATGCGGCCAGGTCCATTGCTCAACTAGACTCTGCTATCTAGGCAACCAGCAAAACAGAATGGTGCCTACTGCGCAAAAGCTTCTGAATATCCTACATTCTAAATCTGGTTACGGATACTGATTTGTTTAATGATAGCGCGCCCTGTATCCGACGGCTCGAAATGTTCTAATAAGGGAATGGTCTCCCGATCCGACGATTTCTTATCGTCCTCTTGTTTTCGACTATCCTCAATGCTGATTCCGGCGTCTAAACTAACTATAGGCATGTCATGGATAAGTATATCTATCATTGCGACTCTAAATTCATGCAATGTCGATCAGGGGGGCGCGGACTGTTATTCTTAACAAATGGGCCTTGGTGCACCTATTTCTGTGGTATGTAGATCAGGGTCAGTCTTCGTCGGTGCGATGTTATTCATAACTGACATTAGGACTCGAGCTATTCGTGTATTTGATCAATGGTATTATTGGCATGTGAAATTCAAAAAGGACATTCTTAGCAGATAGCCGGTATATGGTGATTCGGCCGATGAGCGGAGTCTATGTGCTCATTTTCCGCTGATAGGCTTGTGAAAGGTCTTTGGCACTTAGTTGAGGGACCAGAGGCCGTGCGCGACTAATTATCTCTTTTGCGGACAGGGTCTTCTCATGCAATCTCGGTATGTTTGCACCCACATGCTACATTGTCTGGCATATGGTCTCAGACTCCAGCAAGAGTTAATCCTCACTTAGTACCCGGTCGACGCCACAGAAATTTGGTTACCGAATGAATGCGTAATAAACGACCGTCATCATCACGTCCGAACATCGGCCTTCGAGAATCTGAGACGAAGGGCCAACACAGCAAAGCTAGGACGTCCGATAACCGATGTCAAACTGCCTTTAATGGATGACTCGAACCCATTAATGACGAGTTTTACTCGGAAAGGTTACATTGAACGACCGCTTTCAAGTTTATGAATGCTGCTTGGCAGTGTAGCACATGGATACAGCGTTCGTCGCCCTTCACTAGAATCCTTCGTCGCACATCGTTGATAGGCGGGACGTATATGATCGCACGGAGATGTCGTTACGGGCAAATAAGACACAAGGCAGTGAAGCATATCTTATCTTATCACTCGCCCTAATGAGCTTCCTGACCACCACAAGCGGCCGACTCCGGGAGATACCTTGACCATCGCCATATACGAACTTCGATTTCAAGGTTCGCGGTATTGATCATTTCCTTAACATGGTGCGAGGGAAAACGTAACCTATACAATCTACTCTGGATGAACTGGGGCTCAGGATTCCGTTTGGGTCAGCGCTTCTGTACTGCCTCTCCCGTTGATTTTCATCATCCCGCAGGACAAGAGTGGAATTATATTATATCTCCCCCGCAATCATATTGATCTCTCCCCTCGACACTGTTTCTGACGTTCACAACAATTTGCTGGATCTGTCTGGTCTCAAACGTGTTTAGACAGACAAATCCTTGTCGCTTCTGTCCTTCCGCCTTGTTCGGATGACCGGAGAACTTTTGATGGATAGATACATCATTTGGAGCTATGCACATGACGAGTACGTTTGGCGCGGCGTGGTGCATGGATTGATTGATTCCCGCAGTTTGGACGATTCATGCGTGCTGGCTTAAGGTTTCACAGCGTCGGGTGGTTATTTCTTCTTCTCGTTATTGGACGGCTGGCTGTCCGCAGTGTCGTCACCTGGCTTTGGGGGGTTCTTTTCTATCGTCAAGAGAGGAAGATTGTCGTTCTTTCCGACGTTGACAATGAAACAGGATATCGCTCGCGGTGATAGAAGAGTTTCTATGAGGGTTGATTTTTATTTTTCCATTCTTCAGGCTTCCGTGGTGTGTGCTGTTGAATGTCTCCCGTTTTTTGTTACCTACCTGAGCACCTACCAGCCACTTTTTCGGTCCTCGACGCCTGACTTTGCGGAGTGTGGCTGCTTCTACGGACAAGGCAATTTGGGCCGGAGGTCCGGGATCGGCTCCTTGTACTCTTGCTGCTGCTGCATCGATCACCACCTCGTATACCGGCATAATCAGCCTACTTGAGACAGTGCGACTCCGACGTCCGAGCGTGAGTAATTTGTTCTCAAGTCGGTGTTTTCATACCTTGACCGTATAACCCATGATCCTTGGGTTTTTATCATTTACCGTACGTGTCCCTTAGCGTCTGATGTCGAGCCTCCTAATGAGCGCCACTCTCTCTCTCTCGCGACTTACCAATCCTCCCTCCCCACCACGGGACACGGTGGGTTTCTCCATTTGCGTGGATACTCTCACTGATTAGTACGGAGTGGTACACGACGTTGCCGTTATCCGTCGATTCTTCGGGTGAATTTGGCACCTTACCAGACCACCTAGGCTTGTCGGTCGAGATCTTCCGCTGGGTCCAGTCAACTTCATCCGCTGGTACTCTCTCAGGCGTGTACGAGGGAAATGTGTTATCTATCGGTGGGTGTCTCCCAGATGTATGGAATGACGGCCATCTTGTTTACTCCCTCCGCCAGAGGTCACGGATACCGTACTAGCCGGGGGGCCTAGTCCCATTTCCGGTCAGTCACTGTCGGGGCCGCCGTCATATTCCACAGCGAATGTTCCCCGAGGCCGGAGGCAATAAACATGGATTTATTTTTATCGAGGGATCGGCGTGTGGCGTTTGACGAGGAGCGGATAAATGTCGCATCGGGGTGAGGGGGGGCGATTTTGAATTTGGGGTGTGGTCCGGGTGGTGAAGGGGATTAGGGGAGAAGTCGTTAACCTTCCTCCCTATTAGCTCAGTTGGTAGAGCGTGTCACTAGTATACTGTTTGGTTTACTACGATGACGAGGTCAGTCGTTCAAGTCGGCTAGAGAGAATACTGACGCAGATAGATTTGCTCCTTTTTTTTTTTGAGTCGAGAATTAAGGTCGATCATATTGCAAAGTGACCCATCTGAGCGTTGACCACAGTATAACTTATCACTACGGAGTGGTTATTCAAAAAACTCATATTCTACCTTAGCCGGCGTATAAGACAGTCCCGGAGCCAAGAGAATCTGGCTATCACACATCCCCGAACACTGAAACCCCCGATCTTCCGGCCGCTGAAGGCCTCAACCCTCGACGCTTCGTTGGTTTGGCCTGACGCGAAGAGCCTCTCGTCTACCATGCGGATAATCGGTACTGAACCTGGACAGTCAGCGGGTCTTAGTCTCAACGCAGAGTTCCACCTGTCGCCAAGAATGTTCTCATGCGGATAAACGGTCTATCCCTCGTGGCGAGAGAAACCAGTGGCGGAGCGGGGTTCGAGGCGCAGGGAGGTATGACGAAACGAAAACGAGGGGGGGCGGGGGGGTGCGTGGCGCATCGGAGTGGGAAAACGAAATGGACTGTCGTGCTCCCCCAAGGGTGGGGTTGGGGTGGGTGGGAAATGAAGGATCGAGACCGCTCGAATGTTGAGGCCAGGGAGGTAGGTAATGATATACGACCCGGGAGATGGGTTTTTGCGAGAAGGAAATGGGGGGTGATGTGAGTGAGGTGGGAAACTTTGGACGTAAGGAGACAAGCAGGGAAGGAGAGATGTAACACCCCGTTTTTAGCTTTTTGGCGCGGGAAGGAAGAGAGGGTGTGGGGGGTGGGTGGAACGAGGCCGACGGCTGTAACGGAACCGACTGCTTGTGGTGGGCTGACCTCCGCAGGATATGGAGAGCAGGGAAGAAGATTTACCCCATGGCCTCTTGGGGATACTATAGGCCGAGTAAAAAAAAAAAGGCAGGGAAGAAGACTGGGAAATGAACAGACGAACGAGTCGTAAGGTCTGGAACGGGGGAGGAAATACAAATGGTAGGTGCGAATAGGACGAGGAGGGGGGTGAAGGACGAGCCAATGAGGTGATGGGGATGAGTTGGCCAATGAGAGATGGGAAAGAGACTGAGCCAATGAGAGAGACTACCGAAAAGGGAGGGATTCTCCCGCGGCATATAATGTTTTCTTGTATGGAGAAAACACTGCGGCTTCTGTATCTAACGCGTCCGAACCCTCGATGGGCTAACCCGAAGCCAAGGGTGGAAGAATCACGAATTTTTCGGTGCGGGGGAGAATTACAATTCCTTCCCTCCCCCACGACTCGCATCAGGAATCACGCGTCGTGGTGACGTTGTAAAACGACGTTGCGAACAAGCGGAGATAGGGTAGAGGCGAGAAGAAGAAGGCAGGGGGGATGAAGAGCCCGGGGGCGGGGCAGATGGTCGGACGCGAAGTCGTTGTGCGCCCCCAAGTTGGTTTGGTTGGGTAAACACCGACGGTAAGCGGGCTGACGGCATCCCGGGATTGCAACGATCAACAAAACAATGTTTGCTTGATTTTCGTTTTGAGCGGTGCGCTTGGGAGATTATGACGAAAATGGGTTTATTGCGGGGGGAAGGGAGTGAGACGGCCCGGATGGGTAGGGGGGTGTCTTACATTGTAAGTAAGATGGAAAGAAGCGTCTGGGATCATCAGAGAGGGGGGAGGCAAAAAAAAAAATTACAATGGTCATCCGTCTTGGGTTGTGATGGATTGATCCCTTCCGGTCAATGACTGAGATCGAAAAGACAAATGAGATCCGAAATCGTCGAACCCGATCGCCGGGAGCAATAAGACCGCCACCGAGATTTATTTGGGGATGTTTGTGTGCGGCATGTCGGCATTGCAATACATACCCAAGAGCAAAGAGGGCGACAAACTTCCCACCTCGTACCCACCACCACCTTGCCTTTAGCACCCTTCGCCATGGGACGCAGAAAGATTGAGATACAGCCGATTACTGTGAGTGCTCGATGCTAGGATGGGGTATTCGTGGATACGAGGCGCTGATGGGGTTTTTTTTGGGTGCGGGTGTAGCATGAACGAAACCGCTCGGTGACTTTTCTAAAGGTGACGCTTAATCTCTGTTCCCCTCTCTCCCCCATCCCCTTCCCCCCAATCCGACCCAGCCCCATCCTGTCCTCCCCCCATCTTTCTTTATCCCAGTGGTCGCTGCTATTTTTGTCCCGACACGAGACTAATAAAGTTCTTGGCATTTCTTCTTTATTTTTGGCTCGCGACGGGTACCCACTGTGCAGAGGAAGAACGGGCTCTTCAAAAAGGCGTACGAGCTTGGTGTGCTGTGTAGTGTCGATGTTGCTGTGATCATCTTTGGTGCGTGTTTGTCGTTCGTTGACGCCAAGTGCTCTGGGCTGATGTTGTCTATTTTTAGAGGAACGCCCGGGGCATCATCTCAAGTTGTACGAATACTGCTCCGGCGATACGAGGGACATCGTCCAGAGGCATTTGCGTGTACGGACCTGTCTTTTTCTGCGCGGTCGCTATAGGGGTCACTGACGACTCTTCTTTATCCAGTATGAAGGCGAGAAGGATACGCGTGGGCCGGCAGACTTTTCTGGCGCGGTCAAGATTCTGGACGAGGAGGACGAAGAGGACGACGACGAGGTTGTCTCGGCCGTGCCGTCAAAACGCAGGGGCAGTGGACGACTCAGACCAGTGGGGACCGGTGACCTTGGCGAGGTGAGTCAGCGTATCCACCTTTCTTTCCGGCTTTCATCAGCGCCGTGCTCGATGATGACCAACATATATCGTGCTTGCTGTTCCCCGCCGCCGTCGTCATGACGTTGACCGCTCGTCATCGCTGTCGTCAACGCCCCAGATCTTGGCTTCCGTTGACCGCGCGGCTTCTCTAATACCCTTCTCGTCTCTTTCTCGCCACGTACTCTTAGCTAACCCACTATTTCTCCCGACAGCTCGACTACCAGCACGCTCAGCACCATCCGTCTCACCACTCCCACATCCCGCCACCTCCGCCTCGCGCCATGGCGATACCCCCGCCGCCCATCCCCCAGACGCCCCTCCAGCAGTCCTCAACATCGTCCTCGTCGCTCCCTATCTCCTCCCTCCGCCACCCGCATCCAAACACCAACCCCCATAAGAAGCAGCGTCTCTCTCCGCCCTCAGTCTCTGGCCCCGGCATGCATAGCCGTTCCTCCTCTGGATCCGGGTCTGGTGGTGGAGGTGGAGGTGGAGGGGGGGGAGGCGGAACCGCAAGCCAAGGAGGAGGCTTCTACCCGCCCCCCTCTACTGCGCAGTACCACCACACGCCCTTTTACAGTGGCGGCGGCGGCGGGGGTGGAGGAGGCGGAGGCGGGGGCGGAGGCAACTTCTCCACTCCTGCCCAATTCGGAGGCGAGAGGCGATATGCGGGTTACCCCACCCTGAGCCCGCCCATGTCCCGCGGAGGTGGAGAGATTTTTGGCTTGTTTGACGATCATGGCAGGCCCGGCTCGTCTGGTGGGCCGGCGGGCGCGGGGCCTGGTCCTGGTGGCTTTGATTGGCCTATACATGCTCCGCCGAATGCCCAAGCTGGCACTGGGCCGACGCATAGTCCTACTCAGGGGAGGGTCGACGGTGCTTGGTTGGACTTTTTGAGTACCAGTAATGGGGGGCCTGGTGGTGGCAGTAGGCCGTCGACTAGCTGGGAGAGGGATACCGGGGCTGGAGGTGATGAAGGCGGAGTCGTAGAGAAGGAGGAGGGGTAGGGCCTACGCTTCCTATAAACGGTTTATTGGACCCTCATTTTTGTTTTTGATGTGCTTTTATTCTGTCTGTGGAGAGTAAAAAATGTTCACATTTGTGATATTGAATGTAGTTGGTTTATTATAGATTTTGTGTATGGGTAGAGATAAAAACAATGCCCCCTAGCCGACTTGAACGACTGACCTTGTCATCATCCTTCAAATTGCGAATACGAGTGACACGCTCTACCACTGAGCTAAGAGGGCACAACCTTCCTGGCAATATATATATTGACATCCGACCAAGCTACAAAAACGTCCCTATCAAATATCATTCCTTCCCCCACACGCATCGCCGATCCTTGAACAAGCGATGCGATCGATCGCATAATTGTAAATATACAGCGTCCGTTCGTCGCTCGTGCCGTTATACCGGTGAATTTCACGACTTTGGTCTGATAGCGGATTTCTGTAGTTGTGGGGACTCGTCACTCGTAATAAAAATTCTCTACGTTCCCTTTGAAGTGAGGAAGGGTTGGGATTAAAAAACTGGGCGTACATTCCCTCTAGCCGATTTGAACGACTGACCTCGTCATAACAGATTGTCGAGAACTGTTTATACTAGTGACGCGCTCTACCAACTGAGCTAAGAGGGAGACATCCTTCTTAAATATGGAAATAAAGTAACAATCAACTCAGGGTTCGGGCGGGCCCCATACCAATCAACGAGAATGCGAGTTCTGATGAAGAGTGAGAGAATTTTATATGCGTTACCTACTATAATCAAGGATCAGGGCCGTACCTATCAATGAAAAATGGTAGTTCAGCTTCGAAATGGTGCCAATCCCATGAAACCGCCCGAGTTCCCTCACCACAACCGCCCGAGTCCCGGGGTTGACGGAGATGATAGGATTACGTCGCGTTCTTGAGCTGTTGCTTCTGTTAAAAGATGTAACATGAGGGACTATGCCACGAAGTGTTAGGAAGTCGGGCCCGGCGGTTGTGCAAAGCCGAGTCGATGTTATGGCTTCCACATTCTTCTCCGATATCTAAGAGCCCAATAACAACCCAATAAAAAAGATTGAGATTGTCGTTCTACTTTTGTTTCCTTGAACGGTTGACCAGACAAGATATATACTCTACCGACTGAGCTAGAAGGGATTATCTTTCTGTTATACAGGCCATGAGCGACGAGGAAATGAGCCGAGTGCTGAGAATGGTATGATGATTCACTTGCACTTTGTCGATACAAAAATGCTTCTACGTCGATTCGGACAAACATGAATCAAGAGCGCGATAAGAATCACGTTACTGGACACTTCGAACTCGCCCCATTAATGATTTGAAACACCCGAACTACTCTGGGTGATTTTCCTTCAGAACCAGAAGGACGATGAAAGGAATACTTGAAACGGGGAAGGGGAGACTTTGCTCGGAAACTTCCGGGAAGGACGGGTACTCGTGGCACCTTCGCGGCTAGATATCCTATAGCAGCTCACGGCGAAGAGCGTGTCCCCCCGCCGCCCAAGTCCCGCTCCGGTAACTCAAACATGAGTTATTCCCCGGAGTCCATTGACAGGGCTCCGTAGCCACCCGGGAAGACGTAAGGTTCGCGCGTTTTCTTTGGTTCGGAGTACACCCAAGTCTATGGAGGAACGACGCCACCAGGGTGCGGCGACCGGGGGAGGGAGGGGGGTGGGCGGTTGGGGTTTCCACTTCATTCTCCGAAATACTGGAAAGCCTGCATACATTCAGCTGGGGTAATACGGGGCGAGTATATTCGATGAAACGCGAAGAGAAAGGTTAGTTACTGCGGGTGGGCAAAATTGAATTGGTCGGCGGTATGGGGTGCGAGGAGCGGCGTGCATCTAGTAGAGTGCTGGATGCCTATCCCCAGCCCGATCAATCTATAGGCAAGGTGCTGGGTCGTGGAATCGCGAGGGGTAGGAGGTTGCTGGGTCGTGGTATGAGGGCCCAAGAGTGTCTCGGACAGGCGAGCGCAGGTGTGTCATCGCCACCGGAAATCCTGCTATGCAAAACGATAACGGGATCGGTATGCCGTACCTACAATGCGTCCTCCCTATAGGAGTTTTTGCCGTTACCGGTTTCGAGACGAAGAATGCGCCGATGCTGACCTCACAGAGACGAAATAACAGAGACGGGGAGAGACGACTTACAAAAGAGGACGGCAGGAAAGTATGTTATATGGATGTCGTAGAATGATAATAGTGTACAATTAAAGGTGCATCTATCCGGATGTCATCCAAAAAAAATGTTAATGAAGCTATTCGTGTTGGGACGCCGCACCAAGGATATGTCGCCCATCTTAAAAATAGGTTAGTAGGTTGACAGATCGACTGGAAAATAAGATGAGTCTTTTAAATGTCATTGTACAGGGCATTCAGAGCAATATATGACTCGTGATCTCCCAGGGAGTGATGTAGCCAAGAACGAATGGGTTGGATATAGTCTATCGTCCAGGTCAGCGGATCCCGCCACAAAGGTCGTCTTGGGGAGCTTAGGAGTATTGTAGACTTGAAATACCCTTTGTTTTCGTTACAATCCTGTTGAGCTGAGGATCCTGAGGTAGTCGTTCAAGATCAAACAGTGTTCCGGGCCTGAATGACCCGAAGGATAATATTAGGCCAATCAATCTTCGTGTCGTTTTTAGTTGACTAACGCGACAAGATCGTGCTTCTCTCTATTATCAAAGCTGTTTATTCCGCCTGAGTGGTTTATGTGGAATAATACGGGGCGGCAATTAGATTCAGGCTCCTATCAAGTATGAATGTGAGTCGGGACAAAACGACGGACTCCACACCGACCTGAAGCCTTTTCTGATGGTTTCCTTGATAGAATGATTACCGGTTTCTCGGCATGATTCATTTTTTCTGTCAAGCAAGTGGGGAATTGTGGATAAGAAAAGCTAGGGAAAGTCTTTGGATCGCTCTTTCGCTTGAGGATTACATGGTTCAACAGTCTGCTACTGGTCTATTACGACTCATCTTGTGCTTTAACGTTGCTCAGGTTCCATGGTGATCTAGCACCATCGTGATTTATGAAAAGGACAGCATGACGTCTGTCCGGCGAGGATCGTCGGTTATTCCTCTGCTAGTAGTATTTTACGGAGGCTAATGTCCATTCTTATTTTCCAGAGTCAATGAACAATTTCCGTGATCTAGTACCAGATAAGTAATATTTATCATGTGCTCGATCCTTTGAGATCGTTCCTCTTTTCCAGTCTGTTGTATGCGCCGTATTAATGAGGGCATTCGTATATGTACAAAGGACCTTCGCAAACACCTCGATCAGCTCCTCTAAACACTGCTCCTACTCATGTACTGAACACGTTTCCAGCAGAGCCGACATCTCCCCTCGATGGGGGATCCGGAAATAGAATCAGAGCCGCCGAACGTCGAGTCTCTGACAATCATATGCTGCGTTCTCATCATGATTCAATCCTACGTTCGGACTATGATAAATCTACTATGACATTCTTCGGGTTTCAGTTATGTCGCAACTTGTTTCATGTTTGCCTCTCCATTGCTACGGGGCTCTGTTGTTTCTTTTTGGATCCCCCGAAGCTTCCGTCAATGAGTCCATACGAACGAAGGCAGCGAAGGAGAACAATTTAGGTAGAAAGACTACCCATGGTAAAACGTTCTAGCTGAGACTAGTAATAGCATTTCCTCCTACGAGACAAATATTCAGGTACTGTTCCGTTATCCGTATCACAAGGCGTAAACACTGAAGCTGACAACGAAACCATTGAAGGTACCATTTTGAGCTATCAAAAACGCTCCAGCCTCCGCAAGGATCACGGCATCTCCTCTTGAAAGCATCGATAGTCTATTGAAACCCTACGAGAAGGAAATGAATGTGACCGCAGCATGTAGGTAACGATACTATTCAGTGGAACTTCCTGGATCATTGACTGGAGCGTGAAATATCAAACAATTCTATGGAGAGTGCGAGATCAACGATTCATGAGGAGCGGCGCTAGACCATATCGTCGCATGGGGTACCACATGCCGCGTTCAACCAGGTAGATATTCGATACCCACACTCTGCCCGATCAAGAAGACCGTGAGAGGCTGGTCAAAGCGGCATAGCCTTTCCCGAGGACTTCAGAGGAACACTACATGTGGAAAACTCCAGATGACTGGGGGAGGCAGCATGTAACTGTAGTCACAAATGCCGGCACGAACGTAGGTAGCTGGCCGATAAGAAAGATCGTAAACATCCTTTACATCACCGCTCTCATGACTCTGCTTACGCATGTCGTTTACTTTAGATACTAGGATCTCGAAACTGGTCATCAGAGCATTGAAAGTTGAAGACGGGGTACTCGGCTTACGGGACATACTGCCAATAATGACTCTAATTTAAGAGGTGGGTTGAAACACAATGAATCGGGTCCGTTAACAAGCTGAATGAGGCAATGAGGCTCTTGTACAATTAGCGTGCTGTACACATGCTCAAGGTTCCCACAACGGTTAAGAGAGAACCATGAGGTATTCCTTTAGGTAAAACCTAAAGATTTGTGAAAGGTCAATAAATGTCACCAAAAATTGAAAATAACCGGTAGGTACGAGGCATACCCCACTTGCGACCCAAATAGAGATGCAAATAGATGTGAAATTTAGATGACGTCGTCGACATCATAGGCCATATCTACTGACTGATGTGCTCGAGTAGTGAGTGTTACCGAAATGTTTTCTTTGTAGGATCCCCCGATGTCGATTCTTGAGTCGAGGGATAAGTGCTAGGGGCAATAGCTTCCCAATATTTGCACTGCCTGGGCGCCAGCCGCTCAGTACGTTCAGAGAGTGCGGGAATCGGGAATCGGGATCAAACACTAATCAAACAGCTCCGGCCCGGCCCGCAGAAGTGCGGATGTACGAAAATAAGTTCGTTAGGTCCCATGATCACTCGCTGACAGCACTGTTCATTTTCCTTAGTGTGCACCTCGGCCAGGTAACTTTGTTCCTTTGATTTTTCGGATTTCATGCCCATGTGTTGTACGCCTGCTGTACGCGAATTTCTGCTTCGCCTTACTCAATTCCATCTGTACAGAACTCACTCATTCTGCTGTCAACACTACTGTCAACATCTTGGTCTGCGTTTCTCGGTATACTATTGATCGTAGGGGTGACTACTTGCGACAAAGATCATTTTCGATAGGTTTATATGACGGCGCCAGGAAATGTCAGCCTTTTCATTTCTCTACACGGTCGTTAAACACGACACTCTGTCAGGAAAACCATTTCAAGCAATAGGGTTCACTAATTTCTCTTTCGACAATTAGAGGAGATGGACCAGGATTATCGTCGCGGCTTATCTGCCACAATCATTAAGTAGCTAAGCCCGCGCAGTCTCTCTCATTGGAGCTTTGTTTAACTTGAAATTTTGAAGATCGAATGTACACCTATGTCTTCCGAGCTACGGCCGTGATAGAATTTCGCAGGCCTCTCGTATAAGTCTTACGGGTATTTGTTTTTGTTCCGTAATCCTACAGCAAGAGAGTGGCCGTAGCATTCACAGTCGACATTGACAGCGGCTCCTTGACCTCATTTCGGATGGCCTAGATGCCCGGCCATACATGTCGACTTGATGCAGATATATAGTTTGTCTGTGACCCCCTCGTATGTTCGAA